CCCTAAAAGAAATAGACAGCCTTATAAATTGGAAGGGTGAGCCGGGTGTTGGTGGTGCACACATTTAATCCCAGCACTCGGGAGGCAGAGGCAGGTGGATCTCTGTGAGTTCGAGGCCAGCCTGGTCTACAGAGCGAGCGAGTTCCAGGACAGTCTCCAAAACAATACAGAGAAACCCTGCCTCGAAAAACAAAACAAAAAATAAATAATTAAATAAATTGGAAGGGTGCTCTTACCCTCCAAAACACAAATTTGATTCAACTGTTTTTTCTTTTTTCAGCATGGGTGTGATGGTTCATGGAATGGAATTCTAAATCTAGAAGGAATTTTGGGGGTATACAGGATTATCACAGTCAGATTCCATAAGGATGTTATCAGTTTCTGTGGAAGCTAATCATTTAATAGATCAATAGCTACATTTGGAATCAGGGAGAAAAATAGTTCCAGGCAAGGTAACCGGCATTAAGTGCGACAGACAGCTCACACACAAGCCATTAATATCTAAGACTAATATCTGAGTTAACTGACCCCCAACACTTATGTGCACCCCTACACTGCTTGTACATGCTTCCAGTTGTCCTGGCGATAATCTTCTGACAGTTTGTGTTCAGGTTACTAAAGATTTCCTTGGCTAAGTAGTTGACTGCAAGTGTATTTATAGAAACATTAATAGGTTGGCAGTATCTAGACCTTAAATTCTATTAGGGACGAGCTTGTTTGTGAAGGTGAGTTGCTTTACAAGGAAGCTCTGACTGGATTCTCTTACTGAATTGTATCTCTAAATTTAACTCCTAATTGGATCACAAGTTCTTTCCCAGAGACAAGAGTCATGTTGACTCCTATGTAAAACTCCCTTCCTTCCCCAGTATATTGTACTACTCTCTTTAGCATTATTTGAGTAGTTACTATAACAGCCCACACAATCGTTTGAAGATTAGCTTATATACATAGCAGGAAGTTCCCTAGACCCCACATCCCTTGGCAGTGCCAATGAGACATACATACCCTAAGAACACCCTAAGGAGGAAGAGGAAGTAAAGAAGAGGAAGAAAAAGTGCATTCTTCATTTTCCATCCCCCACTCCTCAGTCACAAGCTTGCATCAAAACATCAAATAGTGCCTATTTGGACTCCGGTTTGCTTTCATTTGCTTAGTTGAGACAGGGTATCATGTAGCCCGGGCTAACTTCAAATTAACTGTGTAGTGGAAGAACTTGAATCTTGAATCTGAGCCTTCTGTCGGCTTCCTGAGTGCTGGGATCAGGGTGTGAGCCTTTAGTTTTGAATGTGGTGCTCAGAGCTCTCTTGCATGCTATAAACTGGGTTTTATTCCCACCCACCCACCCCGTTTATTTATTAGAGCTTTGGCAGTATTGTGAATGCCCCTCTAATTTAGCATCAACAGGCAGGATGATAAGAGTCACGGGGACGAGTTATCCTAAACCTTAATTGGAAAGCAAATGCAGAGAGTCCTCAAACAGGTCACATGCAGTAGCTGAGTGCCCACTGAGTTCAAACACTGCCTCGGCTGCAGAGGAGCTAGCCAAGCTGGGACACATTGCAATCCCAAGACAAGCCAAGGAACTTGCTGAGTGACAAGGCCCCCAGAAGAGCAAATCATAGAACAACAATAGGAACTAGATGGACAGTTGCTCTGTCACACAGCACCGTGCCACCACTCTCTCTCTTTTTTTTTTTTTTTTTTTTGGTTTTTCGAGACAGGGTTTCTCTGTGGCTTTGGAGGCTGTCCTGGAACTCACTTTGTAGACCAGGCTGGCCTCAAACTCAGAGATCCATCTGCCTCTGCTTCCCAAGTGCTGAAATTAAAGGTGTGCCCCACCAACACCCGGCTGTGAGATGTTTTTATTCCTCACATATTTTCAGTACTTATACTTTTATGGTTGGTGAGTGAACTAAGTCTAAGGCTCTAATCTGATCACTTTCCTTACAGTGGCAAGCTTTTGGGGGTTATACGATGAATGGCCACTTTATATTAGTTATAATCTTTAAAGCAACATGAAGTACATGACAGCTTCATTCCAGCCAGAATCAAGGGCAGGCAGGCGTTCTTTCCCTCAAAACATGCTTGCCCAGGTTTCAGTTGGGCCCTGATGTTGTTCGATTTTTTTTTTAAGTTCATTAAAGCAGGGCTTTGCCTTATAGTGACTCCAGCCCTGGAGTTACACAGCCAGACAAAGGATTTGACAACCATCCAGTCAAGTTGTAGACTTAAAGCTCACAAAACTGACCAACCCTTAAACAGAAATCCTTAAAACAACCACTGTAGGCAAATGTGACCAGTCTTGGGACTCTGTGGTGAGCAAGAAAAGCAAGCCTCTGCTTTCATGAAGTTCACAAGGGAAAAGTCCTTCTGAGTGAAGCATCTGCTTTCTCTGAGGTCAGGTCTTACTCTCCAGACTTTGCACCATGCTGGAACAGGGGGCAAGCAGTGGCTGGAGTTGTGAAACTTTCGGTGAGTTATATGGAGCACCAGTACCAAGCATCAGGTCAAACCCCTCCCTCATCCACTAGTGCTCCATCCTACCCAGACAGAAAGCCCCGACTTACAGATGCTAAGGAACTCCTTATCACCCTGGTAACTTGTGATGTCTGTCAACCCTTACCTGGTAACTGACTGGACACTAATTCATGGTTTGGTTTTTTGTTTTCAGAGTGAATGTCTCAGGTAGCCCAGGCTGGCCTCAAACTGGCCAAGTAGTGGAGACTGACCTTGGAATGAACTAGTGATCACAGTCTGTCTCTGCTGGGCTTACTAGGCAAGCATCCACTAGCTTGGCTCCAGCTCTGGCCTGGGAATTCATGATTAAACTGTGAAGCATTTTGATCCAATACCTCACAGTACTGAGAGAACCAGGGTCTCAAACACCCTAAGGTGCTACTCCGTTGAGCCAGAGCCCCAGTCTGTCTCTTTAGGCCAAAGGCTTGGTAAACATTGTTTATTATAGCCCCTCATTCTGTTTAATCTATCACTGATATAGTTATCGTGTAACTGTGCCTGTTAAATGAGGAAAAAAAAAAAAAAAGAAGCCAAAACTTAGAAATACAAAGGGATTGAACTATGACCTGGAGGGCAAACCTAATTCTAGGCTCCAGGGCAGAGGAAATACTTCCCATCCAAATCCTGATCCTGTGAAGATTCCTTTCCGAGTAATCTTGAGAATTGGTTACCATCAAACACACTCTGCAGTCCACCTGTGGAGTGGCCCAGTAAAGGGAAGCTGCAGCTGGAGGAAGCAGAGGGAAGGGTAACTTTTATTTTTAACATGACAACCAGGAAAATGCTAAGGCACTTAAAATTTTTTGTGTGTTAGCATGTACGTATATGCAGCATTTTACATGCCCAACGCCCTGGAAAGCCACAAAAATGGGTACCAAATCCCCGGAACTGGAGTTACAAGTGGTTGTGAGCTGTCTTATCTCTGAAGCGGGGTCCTCCCAAGTGCATCCGTGCTTTCACTGATGAGCCGTCATCTCTGCGGCATAAGGCCCTCAGTCACGCCAGATTAACAGGTGGTAAACAGCAGGGCGGTGCTGGGCAAACTACTAGGTTTCTATCTACTTTATAATATAAAAGAAAACACTTGCCTGAAGAAAAGTCGCTTTAAGTACTGTTACAACAGGCCTCTCACTGCAGCGTGGTAGCATGTACCATCCTTAAATGGTTACTGCCCACCATGGTAATGGTGCTATTGATACTATTAGCATGGCACCGCGGTGCACTTGGGAGCCAGAAACCAGCAAATCTCTGAGACTAGCCTGGTCCATATAAAGAACTCCAGGCCAGCCAGGGATACAGTTGAGACCCTTCCTCAGAAACCAAACACACAAAGCAAAAACAGTGGAGCTAATATTCCAGTAGATAGCTTCATTTTCCTAGCTGGGCATACGCACAGCACCACGGCGAAGGAGGAAGCGCCTCTTATTTTTAGCCTTGTGAGGAAAAGTGCTTAAATAGCAACAGGGCAAACTAAGTCCAAAGGCTCAGCCGGGCTTGGTGCCACGCTGTGGGGGCAGGTTCAAGACCTTCTGACCCCTGGGTTATTGAGTTTTAAACTGGAACCTTCATGAAGCTGAGCAGAGGTGTAAACACAGGAGGTTGGAATCAAGGCTCAGTGGTACACATCTGTAGTCTTGGCTATCGAAGGCTGGGAGCCCAGGATTTTCAGACCAGACTGGCAAATTTGAGACTATACCACAACAAAACAGGACCAAACATCAGAGAACCACAAGTTCACCAGGCTAGTGCTTGGCAAATTGAAATCTGGGACAAGCATATATGCCCGGGGCACACCAGCCTTCAGTGGCTCCAACAGGGAAGCCTGTACTGTGTAGATGGCTCATGGCAGCTGGAGAAAGGAAGATCTCAAGAACGGGCAGGAAGAGAAACTGCTTAAAATAATCTGATAAACTAGGGCTGTCACCAAGCCCTGGCTCCCGGAAGTGAAGCAGGGGTTCCAAATCGCCAGGAAATCCTAGCACATCCAACTTGTAGCGTTGTCACATTGAGCTGTGGACAGCTGCGAAAAGTGGCCAGGTCAACATAACTTGGTATTTAAACCTTAAGTTTAGGTTTTTGTGCAACTTGATTGCAGTGATTCTTGAGCCTGCTTTGAAATGTAAAGAGATTATACATGGAACTAGGAATTGCCAAGACTAAATGTGTAAGCCCTAGTTGCAAACAGCACTGCAAGTTAAAGGCTAGCCCGATCTACATACATAGTGAGCTCCAGGCCAGCCAAGGGTATACACCAACACCCTGTCTCAAAAAACCAAAAACTCACACCTTATCCCAAATTTAGGTACAAGAAGCTGGTCTACAGTACTCCATTTTAAAAACTAAAAGCAGATAGATAAGCTTATTTTGGTAGTAAACAAGAGAGAACCACTCCCCCCCTTTGATAGGAAATGAAGGAACAAAATACTGCACGCTGTTTTTTTTCCCTCCCCCAACCACAAAGAAACAAGTCAGAGGAAATCTTATAAATGTTAGGTTGATTTATAAGCGCTGCTCTTGGCAGTTACAGTCTGTTTACAATGAGGAGTTATCTAACTGAACATACTGTACATGGCAATTAGAAGTCGTCATGGCAAGAGAAAACCACAGGCAGCCCGCTGCGGACGGCACACGACCAACCAGAGAGCAGCAGGGCAAGCCGGGATGGAGGTGGGGTATGTTTATTATAAAAGAAAAACAACAACAACAACACTCCAGAGGACTGCTAAGGAGGAAAGGAATATTCTGTTGGGAGAAAGAAGACACTAGGACACAAAATGACAAATGTTTTAACTTCAGGCCCGTCTGTCCTCCATTCCTCCAAGACAAAGTGGAAGGAGACACTGAAACAAACAGACAACTCTATAAAGTTAGAAACCTACCAAGTTGATTAAAAGTTGAACTTGTTTTGCTTTAAAAAATTTAATATATCAAAAGGCCTGCTTTAGTGACATGCTAGTCCCACCAAAAATCATCCCCACCCACCCCTATCAGTAACAATGTTCAAGTTGACCAGTCAACTCATTCTGCTAACTCGTGTGTGGATACATATGCATCTTAGCCTATGCATGGGGACAGGTGGTGGCAAGCACTGGTGTCCCACCTGCTACCTGTCCAGCATCTGCTCCTGCAGAGTGGGCAAGAAAACCCCACATAGTAATGAAGCAGCTGAGCCCCAGATAACCACCTTTCCTGGTACTGCACCCCCCCACCCCTACTCAAGAAATCCTTACTTGTAACCAAGTTCTTCATTAAACTTGGCAAACCCAGTGACTAGGATGGTTTTCTCAATTAGAAACACACATATATCCACACATCCATATATATAACTTTTGTTTTTACATTTAAATATAAAAATACTACTCTGTTTTGTGTTATAAACGGAGGACCCAGAAATAACTTCCTTCCTTTACAGTAGGGCTATCCATCTGTCAGGTGATAAATGGAGCTGTCTTCATGGAGGGTATGAACTCCCTCAACTCCTCCTCACCTAACTTCCATTTGGAATAGAAAGTGGTTTTACCTGAAGAACTAACAGCTCTCTACCTACGGGGAAATGTCAATCAATCCAAGCAGTGGACCTGCTCTTTCAACTATCCTGAAGAAAAAGTCCTCCTCCACAAACACACCTGCTTTGTGGCAGCTATGCCTACTGGACATGCATTCCTGATGAGATGAAGCAGTGGTTACCTTCCCTTCCCCTACCCCTCCCACCCCCACTAGACAGCTACATAGAAAAGAAATGAGGGTTGGGTGTATAGAGATTAAGAACTTGACTCCTCTATTTTGACCAATAAAAGCAAGATTAAGTGGGCACGAGGAATAAAAAGACCTTGATATTCCATCCTTTGAGTTACAGTGAGGCAGCTGGGATGGGTGGGATGAACTAGGAAGGGCTCAAGATCAAAGTCTAGTCCACTTAGTTTTTGTATTGGAAGGGCTCGTCGCCAGTCTCGTTGAGAAGGCACGTGCGGACGATGGCTTCTGTCACTGCAAAGGGGTCACAATTGGCAGAGGGGCGTCGGTCTTCAAAGTAGCCCTTCTTCTCCTGGCCGACAGTCCGGGGAATGCGGATGCTGGCGCTGCGGTTGGCAACGCCAGCAGAAAAGTCGTTGATGTTGGAGGTTTCGTGGAACCCAGTCAGACGACGGGCGTTGTCCAGGCCCCCCTTGGGATCGTAGGCTCGGATGTGGTACTGGTGTCGCTTGCTTAGTTTCTCAATGGCCTCCTCGATGTGCCTAGGGAAGCAGTAAGGTGAGCGTCTGACCTGTCACTGGAAACCTGTCCTTCAAGGGCAGCAGCAGGTATGAATCCCGCATCAATAAATATTCGACGCAGGGCTGTGTCTGCATTGTGACCTGTGTCTCTAGTGCCTCAGACTAGTCCTTAACATGTAGTACCAACTATCTGCTGGATGGTAAGACCCTATCACTCTCCTCTCCCCACCAGTAAGAATTAAGTCACCCACTTGCTTACTTAGTTCTCACTGAAGACCTTTTAAATGCCTGAACCCACGTGACAACTTTCCCATATCACAGCTGCAATTCTACTCCTAGAGTACTGCCACTTCTCCAACAGGGTACAAATGACAGGCTTATGACAAATATGAAGAGTGTGGCATGTAGTTTGTGACAAGTCCAACTTTCCCAACACTTACACAAAGCCCTTCACTCCCTGAGAATAAAGATGGCTCCAGAGGAAGCTACTTACTTCAGACCATTCTCCTCCCGCATGGCCTTGGTGCTAAAGTTGGTATGGCAGCCTGCACCATTCCAGTTCCCAGGAATGGGCTTGGGGTCAAAGGTTGCTATCACCCCAAAGTCCTCGCATACCCGATGCAAGATGAACCGGGCCACCCAGAGATGATCTCCCATGTGAATTCCTTCACAGGGTCCTATTTGGAATTCCCACTAGAAAGAAAACGTTGACCTTTAGAATAATGCCAACTAACTGTTCAAGCCAACTCAAGCTCCTAGCTTGTTCTACTTACCTCTGCCCTGAACCACTCTTAAGTCACCACCCTTGTTAGCCAAAGTTCCCAGGTGCCAAGTCTTCAGAGGGGAGGAAAGTGGCAGAATAGTGCCGCTTACCTGGGCGGGCATGACCTCAGCATTTGTTCCTGTAATCTTGACCCCAGCATACAAGCAGGCACGGTAGTGAGCCTCCACGATATCCCTGCCATAGGCTTTGTCTGCGCCCACACCACAGTAATACGGTCCTGAAGGAGAATCAAGGCCAATCAGTGAAGAGTCAGAGTCCATAAACCTCCAAAGCCAGAAATGTACAGGGTCCTAAGACTTGCTTTCCCAAGCTCCTGTCTTCACCTGCAGCTAGGATAGGTCTTTCCTCCTTGCCACAGCTCAGCAGAGCCACTGCCTACTTAATGTATATACACGGTGTAGTATGGCCAGAGGCTAACTTCGACTCGGGTTGTCAAGCCTGGTGGCCAGCACCTCTACCCACTGAGCCACCTCATCATCCTCCTGTCACTTTAAATTCTAACCACACCTGGATTTGAGGGATGCAAGGGCAGTCTGTTATGTTCTGCTGCCAGTCAGTAAGAACTTAGGGGGAGAAAGGTTTTATTTCACCTGGGGAACTTACCTTGGGGCCCAGGGAAACCATTGGAAGGCCAACCAAAAGGGTGCCCATCTGTTCCCATGAGAGTATACTCCTGTTCCATTCCAAACCAGGGGTGCTGGTTGCTCACCATGTCCATTATCCGTTTACATGTGTGCCTTAAATTGGTCTCTAGGAATAAAGCATCAGCGCGCTGTAAGGAGTGGTGTCCTCAACTCTTACACAGCTGAAGTCATCCTAGGCTGGACTGACCCAGGCCCAACCACTGTAAGAAGCAATGATTGTACATTTGCAGGAACAGGCTGAGAGACTTTTTATAGTTAAAGTCAGCTACGAAATCTCACGGGAATGGAGTGAGAGCAAAACAAGTGTTCATGCTATCTGCACGCTGGCCACCTTGCAGGAGTACATGCCAGACGCTTCTACCCTCTATCCACAGACAGCTGCTTCTTGTCAATGCGCTCCCCAGCTTCCCAGGCACTTACGGCCAGACCTGTCATTTTACCCAGAATAATTTGTCCATTAGGAGTCTAAGCGCTAAGTTACACAGTATTGGCTGGTACAAAAGAGAGAGAAAGCGAGGGAGAGGTGAGTGTAACTGGAAACAATGCCCAAGCTAGAAAAAAATTAATCATTTAGCTGAGTGTGAGGTGAGTATCAGCACTCTTCACGTTCACAAATGAGAAAATGAAGCCCTGAGAGAGGGTGTCTGGTCACATGCCCAGGTTATAGGGCAAGCGGCTGAGCCAGGAACCCCATGGCTGCCATGCTGAGGTACACACCCTTGACCAACAATGCTTCCTTTTCAAAACAGAGGCACTGAAGGTACAGGGCCACCGAGCCTTCCTGGCAGTGCTAGAAGAGATTTCACACAAGTGAGAGTTCTCCAGGTTTAAGACGCTATCTGAAAACTGAGTAGGATAGCAGGGCACAAACAAAATTCCATGTGCAGGCAGAACGCCTCATGGGCAAACAGCTTAGCCGGAAATAACACTCATGGCAACCTGAGCTCCACCTCCAGAACCCACAAACACAGGCAGGAGAGAAGCAATTCCGCAAGCTGTCAGTTGACTTCCACACACGGAGCACAGTATGTCCTCCACTTAAGCATGCTCTGTCTCTCCACACACAATTCAGCAAAACAGAAGCATGGGGGCAAGTATGCCAAGGTCACTGGCAATAAATGGCAGATCTAGTATTTAAACCCAAAACTCTTAAGTAGGGATTATAGGTTTTTAAATGTACAAGCAGGCCAGGCGTTGGTGGCGCACGCCTTTAATCCCAGCACTTGGGAGGCAGAGGCAGGCGGATCTCTGTGAGTTCAAGGTCAGCCTGGTCTACAGAGCGAGTTCCAGGACAGCCTCCAAGACAATACAGAGAAACCCTGTCTCGAAAAACCAAAAAAAAAAATAAATAAAAATAAAAAATTAAAAAATAAATGTACAAACAGGTCAAGACTGTCACGGGGACTCATCAGCAAACAGATTGAAGAAGATTCCACACTGTTTATACAACCAATAAAAAGGACCATGGAAGGAAGGGTGGACCACACTGGTTTTCAGCAGGCGAGTTCGAGGTAGAAGGATGGACATCTAATCATCCATCCCTAGATTCTTAAGACATCCGAGCCCAGCCCATACATACCTGCAGGCTTCCGGTTGTACTTGAAAACTTCACAGAACACCAGCTTGTTGGGCTCTTTGCGGAAGGGGTCCCGAAACATGGCAACAGGGCTGAGATACATGTCACTGTTGGAGCCCTCAGACTGAAAGGTACTAGATCCATCAAAATTCCACTCAGGTAACTCTGGGCCAAATAAAGATGGAAAATTATTTCCATGTATGTATGGCCGGGTGGTGGCAGCGCACACCTTTAATCCCAGCACTCAGGAGACAGAGGCAGGTGGATCTCTGTGACTTCGAGACCAGTCTGGTCTACAAGAGCTAGTTCCAGGATAGTCTTCAAAGCCACAGAGAAACCCTGTCTCAAAAACACCAAAAGATTATTTATTTTTATGTGTGTAGGGGTGTTTTAATTGCACGTATATCTGTACAGGTGTGTGCCCGGAGCCTGCAGAAGCTAGAAGAGGGGGTTAGATCCCTAGAATTGGAGTTACAGATAGTTGTAGCCACCATATAGGTGCTGGTTAACTGAACCCGGATCTATAAGAGCAACTGTAACTTCAGTTCCTGGGATTTTCACACCGTCTTCAGACCTCTGCAGGCACTGCATGAACATACGCGCACACCACTCATCCACATGAAATAATGTTTTTTTAGTACACACAGACAGCCAGTCTCTCCTCATCTTTCCATTGCTGAAGATCTACTCTGTCCTTCTGAGGGCGTGCTTGTGAATGCATCATCACTAATTTAGGGACAACCTGACGTCTGTGCCCACCCATGTTCCCCCTGAGGTTTCCAAGAGCACTGCTTCACAAGAACCACCCAAACAACAAACAGACGAGTTTTCTCAGTAAGTCCCCTGTGCCCCAGGCATTCTGACACCACTTCCAGTGAGTGCGACACAGGGCAAAAACTGAACCCTTCACGAGGCCGTCATCCCCCTCTCTCATCCCTCACCAGGCCTGACTGGCACAGCTTTGGGTGTGCGCTTGCCGATGAGGACTCACTTGTTTCCCTAACCCTTGTTCCTTCTCCTTGTTTCAGTGGTCAATTTGTCTCTCCAGTTACCTATGAGTTCTTGAAGACAGAGACCGAAGGACCTACCCAATTCTGCCAAACAAGCACACGTTACATGCTGTCATCTAGTCATTCATTCCCGCAACAGCGACATCTCTAGAATAATATCCTAAACCAGCTGCCCTCCCGCCAAAGACAAGGGCCACAGCTAAAATAGGTCTCCTTTGAAAGTTTTTAAAAGCACCTCCAACTAAAAACAAATGGCCAGTCCTAGAGAAACCTCTTTGGAACATGTGCTCTGCATACAGAATTCCACTGTATAAATACTAAATACAGCACACAAAAGGGTCTCAACCTGTGGGTCACAACCCCTGAGGGTGGCCTAACAACCCTTTCACAGGGGTCACCCGAGACCGTCCAAAACCACAGATGCTTACATTATGATTCATAGAAGCAGTGAGATTATAGTTAAGAAGTTAGCAATGGCTGGGGGTGAGGGCTGGGCCACCAGAACATGAGGAGCTGTATTCAAGTGACAGAGCATCAGAAGGGTTAAGAACACTGCCCTATAAACTTGATAGCAGTTCTAACAGTTCTTTAACTAGGTTCCTGGGGTTGGCCAGGTTAGCGACACTCCAACCTCTCACCCCCTACCAATGTGACCCAGTATTTTTCTTCAATGTACCAGCACATACAAGATTCCATCTAAATAAAGGCCTCCATTGTTGCTAAGCCTCCAGACTACCCAGCAGCTTACGGGTGACTGACTGAGGTCTGAAGAGGCCTGCTTTTGGAAGACTTTGCAAACAAAACAGAAGGAAGGTCATTCTGAGGCTGCTTGCCCGCTTCCAGGCACATGCCCTGCTCCCGCCAAGCTCACCTTCTACACACTTGGGCTCACAGTCGAGGGTGCGGGTCTTGCAGCGCAGCCCCTCTCCGGTACCATCAACCCAGATATACATGGCTTGGACTTTCTCACCCTGGGGCAGGGACATGTACATTTGCTTGATGCCTTTGTTCAAGTGGGAGCTTGCTGAGGTGGCCATGGTGGAAGGTGTTCTGGAGAGACAAAAGTCATTTTATTAACATCTACTCTGAAGGGGGTCCCCTGCAGGAATGGCTTAAGAGGCACGGGAAGCGATGTGGTACTCTCTCCTTTGGAAGTCAACGCACTCTGCTTTCAAGAAGTTTAAAGTTCATAATTAGACAAAGATCATCCCCCTCTCTCCCCAGGATGGGTTAGTTAAGGAATTTTTAATATCCCTTAACTTTGAGAAAGGTGACAAGAGGAAAATAAAAGATAAAAAACATTCACTAATGCCTTTTTTTTTTTGAGACCGGGTTTCTCCATTTTGTTTTGGAGACTGTCCTGGAACTTGCTCTGTAGACCAGGCTGGCCTCGAACTCCCAGAGATCCACCTGCCTCTGCCTCTGGAGTGCTGGGATTAAAGTCGTGAGCCACCAACAAACTCCCAGAGATCCACCTGCCTCTGCCTCTGGAATACTGGGATTAACGGCGTGAGCCACCAACGCCCGGCTAAATAGAAATGTCTTAATCCCAATACAACTACATCCCTGCCATCAAAACTCGAGTAATTTATTGCCTTTTATTCTTGATTTAACAGACATACACCCCACCTCCCAGGTTCCTACATTTAGATTATTTATTTGAGACAAGGTCTTACTGTGTAGCCCTGGAACTTTCTATTCAGGCCAGGTCTGCCTCAAACTCAGCGATCTGCCAGCTTCAGCTTCCTGAATGCTAGAAATAAAGGTGTGCTGCCACTACTCCTTGACTCCATACAGGTGAGACAAGGGGACTAATGTTTAAAAGGCTAACATATTCCAGGGATTAAAAAAATCTGTGCTATTTTCACCAACGTGGTAAAACAGTAAAGCCACACTCCAAGGAGCACACTGCTGATTTATTTATTTGTTTATTTATTTATTTTGGGGGACAGGGTCTCTACATAGCCCTGACTATCCTGGTACTGACTATGTAGACCAGGTATGTATTGCAAAGATCTACCTGCACCTGCCTTCTGAGTGCTGGGATTAAGAAGGTGTCTGTGTTCCTCCAGGCCAGGTCTGGGCTGACTTTTCACTGGTGAGATGAAAAGTCATTACAATGTAAAAACGGCAGGATTTGAAAATTTCATTGGATAATATTTTCTGGTAAGTATAAATTTCCCACTTCTAATAAAGATGTGGGGAAAGACTCAGCCACCCGGGGAGGGGGGAATCCTAAGGATCCGAAGCTACAAAACCAGCTTCAACACAAGAGGAAATGTCCCCCCTCCCTAATCGCCCAGGATGGCTGGAAAGGGAACATATTGTTCTCCTCCAATGACTTGGGCAACTCTCTGAAGTACAGTGGCAAAAGTTTCTACGGGCAACTGTCCATGTTTGCCCAAGTGAAAACAACTGCTTCTCCCTCCAAAAGCCTCACCCTTCCCCTGGGGAACAGATGAAGCTGCCCTGTCAAGTCCTACACAGAACTAAAACCTCTGCCTACACTACCCTTAGAGACAGGACTGTGGTTCTAGAAGGCCTTCAGCTTACAACACTAAATCCCTCAGCCTTCTCTTCCTTTGGGTTATAAATCCAGCATTAACCAATTGCTAGGTGAGCCTGGGTCCCTCCTCCAGCCCTGTTCCTCGAGACCAGCTGGGTGCCACTCAGCTAGAGTGTATTGCACCGACCGATGGTGCCAAGTTCACGTGGAATGGGTTCTGAAGTTGAGTCGTTCCTGCTTTCGCCACAGGCACCAGGGGCCTTCTCCCTACCCTTTTACTCACCCCAGCCACAGAGAATTAAATGTACAGTTGGGGTTGCCCTCTCTAGCCCTCCTCTTTTTAGAGCTGTGTTCGTGCCTCTCCTCCGACTCAGTAGTATCTCGCTGGTCCAAGCAACGGAGCTTTCTGGGCGAGGGCGATGGTGTGGGGGACCCAGAGCGTTCGGAGGGGGAGGTGCTGGAATAAAGAGGCTGATGGGATTTAACTTTAACCCGCGATTTCTCCCCGGAGTTCACAGAGTAGGCAACGAAGCCGAAGCAATTGGTAGGGGACTCTGAGGACCGAGAATCTCCATCTTCTTCCTCCTCTTCTATCGAGGATTTCTTTGAGGATTTGCGGCTGGGGGAGGGTCCCCGCTTCCCGCCCCCGGAGGAGTTGGGGTAATCCACTTTGAGAGCAGCCCTTTCCCACTTAAATGTCCGGAAAGTCGGTGCCCCGACCCTCGGGCCCGCGTTGACCTCAAGGCCTCTCCCAGGGGGCCATGTCCCTCGAGGGCAGCGGCCGGGTGGAGAGTGGAGCGACCGCGGGAGGCACCGCGCGGCGCTGCTGCCTCCGCCCGGCCCGGCCCCTCCACTGCGGAGCCCTCCGGCCACTCCGGGGCACTGGCTCTCCATTGTTCGGTCATACTGTAAAACGGCCCAGGACCCCGCGTTGGGAAGCCGACGAGTGGCGCCACCAACACAAGACCACCGGCCTCAGCCAGACCACCCACAGCGCGACCAGGGAGACAGGCTCCAGGCGCGCCTGCGCCCACCGAAGGCGTGAGTGCGCTCCGGGAGGGACCACCCGGCCGCCCGATCCGGGAACCTCTGCCAACCCGGGGCCGCCCGCCTCCCGGGGCGGCGCCTCGGGCCGCCAGGGGAGAGCAGATCAAAACAACCCGCGACCCCGCCCTTCCCGGAGCTTGGTCCACAGCACGCCCCAAGACAGCCAAGCGGAGCCGGTCCCGGCCGCACGCTGCAAGCACGCGGGAGACACGAGCGCAGCATCCCGGGCCGTGCAGCTGCGAACTGGCGCTGGGAGGTAGAGTGCGGCAGCCACCGTGCCACGCACCCTCCGTGCGCTTACCTGAGCGGTGGCCGGCGGGGATGATGGACAGGGCGGACAGGGCCACGAGAAGGAGGCGAAGAGAGCGGCGAGGAGGTTGGTGTGGGACTCAGACAGTGGACTCTATTCCCATTCTCGGCTCTGCAGGGACGCAGCCTGCTCGGTACTTTTTATTGGCAGGTCGGGCCCGCCCCCTGGCTCTCTGATTGGTTGGCCTGGGCCAGGAAACCCGCGCCCATCAGCTGCTGCGAGTCCAGGGCCCGAGGCCATTGGCCGAGGAGCTGTGCAGGAGCCGCGGGGTGGGGCGAGCAAGCAGGAGAAGAAAGAAAGAGAAAGGGGAGTGGGGGAGGGGAGCCAGCGGCTGCCGAGGAGGGCTGGGGGCGGAAGGTGCTGGAAGCTCTTCCAGCTTGTGTTCTTTAGCGACCTCTGGACCCTCCGACCCGCGCTAAAGCTTTCCTCAGTCACTCGGTCTTCGGCTCTTGCTGCCTAACGGTGCAAAGGTTTTCAGAGTTGCCGGTGAAAATCCACAACCGAATTTTTACCCTTTGTTTGTTGAACGAGATCTCAGGGGCGAGTTGGGGTGGAGGGAGCCAGGAAGCCCTGGTTAGACCTGGAGAGAGACAGAGTTCCCAAGGCCTAGAGGAACCTATCTTCCTGGCTTCCTGAGTGAGTTTGGGAAAGTGGTCAGAACTGTGGTTTCTTGGTTTAAGCACAAGCGCGATGTTTCTATAATTCCATGGAGAGGATTCTGGAGATCCATAGACAAGAGACCTGTTTGGTGTTGCCTAGTTCCCGCCATAGGCAAGTCTCTCAGCCTTTCAAAGCCCGAGTTCCTTGGATCTGCAAAATAAAGCAGATGGAAGGACTTTCAGAGCGGTGCACCAGACTTGAAGTCAGGGTGTACACCGCTTGCTACATGAAAACTATTCTTTCTAGGACCCCATTGAAACCTGGGATTCACCAAACATTTAGGAGTCCCTAAAAAAATGTTAGCTGGCCTGTGGTGGTGCTGGCCTTTAATCCCAACACTCAGAGGCCAGTTCTAGGCCAGTCTGGCTTACAGAGTGAGTTCTAGGACAACCAGGGTTACACAGAGAAACCCTGTCTTGAAAAAAAAAAAGAAAAGAAAAGAAAGAAAAAAATTCAAAGTTGCTTACTGTGGGTTTGTTTTGTTTTTAAGTCAGAAAACTGAGTGTCTTTTCGCTCTCAACCCGCGGTGATGGCTGAGATAGTTTGACTATTGTAAGATTAACTGACAGTATGCACAGAATTACCTGTAAGAATAGACATGGCCTAAGACTCTTATCACTGCTGTGTCCCGAGCAGTGTTTCTTTGTGCATGAGATCTACCCGGGCTTTATTAACCTCTCAGGACCCTTGGTGTTTGAGATGGAAATGTTCTGCTTAAATACCGGAAATCCATGCTCTCCAGAGCCTTTGGAAGAGGAAGGGAAGAAGTTTGTTCTTCTGGTTATGTTTTGCACCACAAATATGAAAAAGAAATGTTGCCTGTGACCACACACGCATAACTTGGCTTCTTGGGTCAACCTCTGTCTGTTCCCTCTAAGTGTGTCTAACACCGGCACACAGGCCCACCATTCATCTCAGATGGGGGTTTCCGTATGCTTTGGGCTGGAAAGGCACCTTGCAAATTCCGTGTCACATTCGGTGCTGTGTGAAGTATTTCACAGTGATGGTCAATAGTGGAGATTCGGATCAGACAGACCCAAGACCAGATCTGGACTTCAGCCCTGGCCCACCTTGATTAATAGCCAAATTACTTGGCCATACAAAGCCTCTGTTGTAGCATTTATAGCAGGGATTACAGTAGGACCTGGTACATGAGGTCCTACATGATAATTAGAAAACACTAATTATCATTTTATAGGTCAATATAATCGGAAGAGATTGGACCATCTCTTTCTCCACAGTTTCTCTCTGTCTCTGTCTCTGTCTCTGTGGGTGTGTGTGTGTGTGTGTGTCAGTCTGAGGCTGATATTGGATATCTTCCTCTAGCCCCTCCAGTACTTTTTTAAACACGGTCTTTCACTGAGCCTGTAATTCACAGACTTAGCTAGACTTTCTGGCCAACGAATCCCAGGGATCTCTCTGTATGTACCTCCCCAGAGCTTGAATTACAGTCACCTGCCACTGTACCTGACTTTTTACAGGGTTGCTGGGATGGAACTGGGGCCCTCTATCAGCTAAGCCGTCTCACCACCCTCCACGATCACTCCTGAAATGCAATTTTGTGTCTCCTCGTCATGTTGCACCATTGCCTTAATAAAGGAAGCGAGGTTTAGTCCCAGTAACAAGGTCAGCCGTCTTCCCATTGCTTTCTTTTAACTCTTCAGCTTAGGTGGTGGAAAAGGAATCAGAAAAGGCAGAAACGATGTTCTTATTTTAAGAAATAGTGAATTCAGCCAGGCGTTGGTGGTGCACGCCTTTAATCCCAGCACTCGGGAGGCAGAGGCAGGCGGATCTCGGTGAGTTCGAGGCCAGCCTGGTCTACAGAGCGAGTTCCAGGACAGCCTCCAAAACAATACAGAGAAACCCTGTCTCGAAAAACAAAAAAAAAAAAAAAAAAAAAAAAAAAAGAAATAGTGAATTCCAGATACCAGCTGCCAAAGTATAAGCCAGCGGCCTTCAGGACTCTTCACCAGTGCCCAGAGAACATAGTAGAAAATTCAATACTCAGGAGCAACTGGGTTGTTTTTCTTAGGTTTCTTGCATTTCTGCTAGGTGAGTGCCTACTCCCCTTGCTAGACATATTAACCTTTGCTGCTTATTCATTTTCATAGTCCCCAATAGTGTCCAGACTGAGTGTTCAATAAACATTTATTGACCACACAGAAATGTCAGCGGCAGCATCAAGAGAACATGTGCCCTATTTCCAAGAATAGAAGTGGATTTGCTTTGATCCTTACATGTGACCAGGGACATCTCACATGACCACCGATTTCCAGGGGTAAACAAGAGGCTTTGCCCCCTTGGTCAGCCCCACATATGTTTAAAGCAACCAAAGTGGAAGCCAGACAAGTCCAGGGACCAGACTGGAGAACTTTGAGTGTACCGTGGGAAAAAACGCAAAACAGAGTCCCTTAATCAGTTTGCCCTCAGAAAAGTAACCTGCAGCTCCAGAGAAGTTAGAACAGCCTGTTTCATCCCCTTTGCTGTGTCTGTCCTTTGTTCTTCCTGAATCGCCAGCACCCCTGTTTCTGCCCCCTCCATGAAAGCAGCAAGATGGTTGAACCTTTTCCGTCTAGGCCCACACAGTATCAAAGCTAACCGGGAGTCTGATAGTAAGTGCTTTGAAGTTGAGGTTCTTGCTGAGTGGGGCTCCTCTGTCCCTGGGTGGAGTGGGAGAGAAATATTGCAGGGAAAGAGTTTGGACCAAGTTTGCAGAAATAACCCAGAATTAAACACATCTCATCAGTGGTTGGCTGCCTGCCCTGACGGCTTTGTCTTGGGTAGGCCTTTCCAATGAGTTCTTACCGCTTCTTTCTCTGTTTGTCTGCAGCTCTTCTTCTGGAGTCGGAAGAGTGCAGCCTGCCTGATCGTCTTGCATTCACACGTCAAATTTAGGATGTGGTTCCATTGAACCCAAACCTTCCACTGAAACAGGCTGTTGGGAAGTGGAGCTTGCTGCACATGGGCTGACTTCAGTGGGCAAGCAGTGAAAACTTTAAACCAGGCTAGAGAAATACAGTTGGGGACTCGATTTGCAGTCACCCTGAAAACCAAACCCAGAATGTAACCTGTTTTGTTTTTAGAAACCCAAATTAGTTCTGGCCAAAATAATGGAGCCTAACAGATGTCAAGCCAAGCCCAAACAAAAAAATAAAGGGAGAGCCCTGGAGGTTGACAGCATTCCTGGACCCTGTAAAGGTGTTTCTCTGGAAAGTTGTATTAGTCAGCCTTTCAAATTCCAATCTACATAATAAAGGAGGAAAGAGCAAATTCCACTTGAATTCAATAACCCAAGACTGAATTCAGTAACCTAAGCATGGGAGGGTGCTGTCTTTTGTTTTGTTTTGGAGACAGGGTTTCTCTGTGGCTATGGAGGCTGTCCTGGAACTAGCTCTTGTAGACTAGGCTGGCCTTGAACTCACAGAGATCCGACTGTCTCAGGTGTACTCCACTACCGACTGGCTGAGGGAGCTGTCATTACATAGCTTAATTACTTGATACTCTTTAGTTCCAGAGAAGAAATTCAAAGCTGGACTGTCAACTGACTTTCACCTGATGGGAGTTTTGCCAAGTGCTCAGTGAAGACACTCACAGAGAGGAAGCACCCCATTTCTCAAGCTGCACATTTGGGTGGAAGGTTTGTGCCTGTTTGAGCTCTTCCTCAAATCTTATCTCTGCTTGGAAGAACCGAGCTCACTGACAGCACAGGAAAGCAAGTCCTACTAAGACCTGGAGCCACAAATACGATTCTAGAATTGACCTTCATGTCCTTCTATCCTACTTTTTTTTTCCTGTCTGAAGGTGAACCCAAGGCCATGGGGTATGCCAGACAACTGCTCTATTGCTGAGCTGTATTCCTAGTCCACCTTCATTGTGTCTGTCTGTTTGTTTTTCAAGACAGGGTTTCTCTGTGGTTTTGGAGGCTGTCCTAGAACTCTCTTTGAAGACCAGGCTGGCCTCGAACTCAAGAGATCCTCCTGCCTCTGCCTCCTGAGTGCTGGGATTAAAGGCATGTGCCACCACCCAGCTTAGAGAACAGTTGAATTTTGAATAAATTTTCATTTACAATAATTTGTCACTAATTACTGTCAATTGATTTACTGTGTGTGTGTGTGTGTGTGTGTGTGTGTGTGTGTGTGTGTGTGTACACTGAAGGGGCACACGTGTCCATGTGTGGAAGTTGGGGGACAACTTTCAGGGCTAAACTCAAACTGTCATGCTCACACAGTGAATGCTTTTACCACTGAGCCATCTCACTTGTCATACATTTTTTATTTTATTTATTTATTTAATTTCCCGGTTTATATACCGCTCTGTCGTCTCTAGGTCGACCTCTAGAGAGGGTTTGGAACCTTACTGATGCTTACTTGAAAATGTAGGAAAAGTTGCTCTGTGGAAAATCGACTTGGATTAAAATGTGTCCTTTAGAGGGTACTTTTCTCAAAGGAATCCTCAGCTGAACCTGCACACAACCTTTTATCCCTCACCCCTGGCCTCATTAGCTGTTTTGGATCCCTGTTTATTTCATGTTTGTCAAGCTTTAACAGGAAACACATAGTCCTGTGGCATGTATTTTGGATTCTTGGGCAACATCTAGCCGGCTTCTGAACTTCTTCTATTCTCTTTTCCCCTCCCCCATTCTGTTTAAACTGATTCTTCAAAGGCTTGTTTACTGGGGCTGCAGGACTAGGCACTGGCGTTTGGGCTGGTGATGGTGACAGAGCGCCCTCTGGTGGAGTTCTGTAGGTATTTCCGACTTCTCCCCAGAAGGCTTGCCTGTGAAGGTACATTTTTCTTACCTTGCCTCTGTTACATGATATATGGTAATAATGTCCAATGCTTTGTCTACACTGGCTGTTTGAAAGATATTGCATTTGTATTACTGTCCATTACCAGAGGGTTATCATGAAATTAATTGCCAGATTCCCAGAAATGGGCTGCCAACTCTACTTGTGCCTCACTCTACATCAGTGTGCAAGGTAAGTAAAGAGAAAAGATCGCTGCAAAATCAATTGATGAGAGTCCAGGAACCAAGAACAAATGACCAATGAATTCGAGGACTTGACCATAAACATGTTTCACCCTCAGCCCTCACTCGGCTCTGAGCCCGGAAACTTACACCAAGTTGAGAGTATGCCAGACTCTATTCTGGGGGCAATCAGAGTTGATCAGAGAATTTAGCATAAACCAGGCCTTTATGGGTGTCTGGGGTAGTCACACTTTGCCACTTCCTCTACGGGGACTGTGGCTGGTCCCACCTGACCTCGCCCCTCCCCTCCCCACACCTCCCTTTAGTCCTTTTTAATCCTGGGCATCACTCCCTTGTCCGTTGCCATTAGGGAGGCTGCCTGGGTGACGCCTTCACAGACTTGAGTGTGACACCTGGCTTAAATCGCTGGCTTGCCTCCTGTCTCCAGCAAGTGGACACACAATAGAACCGGGTTTCTAGAGTTTCCGTACAGAAGCACTGAGGACCGTAGTGATGATCGTGAGCGCTGGGTGTGTGGGAGAGTGTTAGCGGGCTGCCGTCTGACCCCCAGGACTAAAGAATACAACCAAAGTACCACCACTAGCATCAAAAGACTAAACAATTGGGGAACTGATTTGGACTTTTTATTCTCCTCAAGAACAAAGAGAGCGGGCCATGACCGAGAAGAAGATGTCAGGCTTTAGGGTGGTTGGCATTGCCGAGAGGTTACCTGTTGAGCAACGCATTTAGAAGGAAGGAGTGGTGAGGGTGGGCAGTGGGACCAGACAGCCTTTAGTAACCAGGAACTGTCACACAGTGGGAATTCACAGGAGGAGTTGTGTAACTTGGATACCACAAAATCCCCATTCTTCTGAAACCTATGTATTAGTTGGTGAGGGAAAACTCCACAAGGGAGAATATTTCAAAACCAGGACAAAGCGAGATGTGCCAGCTGTTTCGGAAAAATAAGGCAGGTTTTCTGTAAGTACCCCAGTGCTCCGACAAAGAAGTCCACGTGAGCTCCCAGGGAAAGCTGCTTTTGGGTGCTCGTTGCCTTGGTGGCAGAAGGGGTTACAGTCTGTACATCAAGTGACAGACAAAATTGTGAATGTGAGATGCAAGAGGGGAAAAATTGAAAACCCAGGGATGGTGTGTAATAAGTTCCACATGTAAGGGGGGAAAGAAAGCTTTGATACAGTAGGCATCCTGAAGCATGGAGTTGGGAAATTACCAAGCATGGGTACTCACTCCATAAAAGCTTGGATTATGCAAATTTATACCATTATTAAATTTATTTTAAAAAATGACTAAAAATTTAAAATGAAGTCAGTCATTAAAGATCAGGGGAGAGGGTCAAAAAAAAGAAAGATGAGATTTATTAATTTCTGAAATAGGAATTACCCGAGCTGGCCTAAAATTCATAATGTAACCAAGTATGGTCTTGAACTCCTGATCCCCCGGCCTCCATCTAGAGGGCTGGGATTGCCAACGTGCCCCCACCATGCCTGGTTTTTAGTACTGGGGATTGAACCTAGGGCTATGCACGTTCTAGGCAAGCTCTCTGTCACCAGAGCTCTAGTACCAGCCCAAAAGAGTATAATCTCAACCTGTGTAACACCCACCTTTAATTACAGCGCTCAGGAAGCAGACGCAGGCAGACCTGAGTTTGAGGCCAGCCTGGTCTACATATATATTGAGTTCCAAGCCAGACTGGGTAATGTCGTGAGATCTTGTCTGAAATTCAAAGTAACAGAAAGAATCAAATCTACTTTATAGAATGAGACAGCTGATTCTGGTTTGGAGTGGTGAGAAATCTTTATTCCCTCAGGTGAATGCAATCAGTGGTACCCAGAGAAACAGCTCTGACCACAGAATTCTGGGCTCTGCTGCAGATTCCTCCCTTTCAAGTCATTCTGTTGCACTTTCCTCCCCTGGCTTGGATTCTGCCCTCCCTCTCCACAAGTCTCACCAGCATCCCTTTCTTGACCCCTTTCTCCTCAGCATCAACTGGAGGCTCAGAGATGGGGAGTTTTGCTCCAACAAATTGGAACCAACTGCTGTCCTGTAGGACCATTACCTTCACCAAGGAATGGGGTGCATGGCAAGCGCCTAGAACAGCCCCCAGGAGGAAGATGGGGTGGTGAATACGCCCAGGTATTCTAGGCCCTGTCACAGTCAGGGCGAAGGGAGAAGAGCCTGGTCATCTTTTTCCTGCTGCTCTGCATCCCGCAGCAGGCTGTAAAATGTTCCCGAGGAGCTCCCATGATACAGCGCTTCCTTGGACCCCATCAGCCTCAAGCTGGGACTGTAAAAGTGGTGCCAATAGGAAGAGACGCCATAGATTCCTAGCAGGCATAAAGCATTGATCATCACATGCCAGCAGAAGAAGGTGGTGACAAACATGATGTCACTGATGTCATCATCTTCCCACGGGTAGCCAGACACTGGTCTAAACAGAATGAAGCCTGCCTGAATCAGCCACGAGCCCATCATCAGGAACAGGAAGGTCTCTATCACCCAGAGGTGAAACATCTTAGGAGCCCACAGCTCAGCCGTCAACACCAGCATCAGCAGGAACACCACCAAAACGAAGAGAGAGTGGACCTGCAGCTCCACCCCAGATGAATCCTTAATGTGTGACAGCAGCAGCAGCAGGAGCACGTAGAAGCCCAGGACAGTGGAACCTCTCTCTAGGACCCCACACCTCTGCTGCAGCACATTCTTGCTTGCAATTTCTATGCAACCATCAAGGGTGAGGAGGATGAACATGGTGAGATGCTGCCACTCCTTGGGGTACATAAACCTGGGTGGCGTCCCTTTGTTCATAAATTTCAACCCTCCGTCAACACAGTTGACCTCATAAACTATCAAGAGGCAGCCAGTCACTGTCTTCAACCAGCCCGCATGGGCTATTTGCCACAGCCTGTCCCACCTTCCCTTACTCTTAGAGAGGGATGAAGGATTCAGAAGAGAGTCATTGAATATCATAGCTCTGGAGACTACTATTGCTCTATACAGTCCATATAAGACCAGAAACAGGCCGGGACATATATGACCAATAAAATCTCCCATTGAGCTACTAATCCAACACAATGCAAAACTCAGGTGCAGGTGCTTCAAGTTCCAGGCTTTGGGAAGAATTGTCTTCCACTCGGTTTTATCATCTCCCTTCACCCACTACTACCCACAGAGAGGAAACATCTCTTGAGACAAGCCTACACATTGGGTGGAAATGCAGCCTCATTAGACCGTTCCACTCTGGCGCACTGGGAACTGAGTGGGCTTTCCGGGGTTCCTCTCCACAGCTTCTGAGGGTCTTTGGCTCATGCTTGTTTCTGGCTCAAGTTCCCCTCTTCTCCTCCAGCCTGGTGCTCATGTGGAAAGGCGGGGCAGGAAATGGTGGGTTGGGTTGCTGTGGTGTGCAGAGAAAGCCTATGCTTGCTTAAACTCCCAAGCATCCTTGGAGTAATTCTCAGACCTAACTTCTATTTGTAAAGGTGGATGCCTTCATTCTGGGCATGGACATTTAAACATTTAGATATGAGACCACATCATAGCATCCACCTGGCTTTTCTAGTCTTCTGTAGTAGATGTAGCTTAAAGACTGTTTAGAAATCTCCTCCTCTCCTTTCCCCCTCCCCCACCTCTCCCTGACTACCACCAACCCATCACCATATTTGTGGCCTGTAGACAAACTTTCAGAGGTACATTTTGAGGGTTTTTTTTGGGGGGTGTACATATGCCAGCAAAACTAAGTTTGAATGTGTTTCCCAGAATTTCCGTCCCCACATGGCTCCAAGCAAAGGTTGACTCCAGGTAGTTTTTACAAAAGTCACTTATAGTGTAATGGGGAACGGTTCACTTGCTCCATCTCTCTCTGATACTGGTTAGTGCCAGTGAGCATAAGGAGAGGGGATTGTGGAGAACCAGGTATAAGAAACAGAAAGTGTGTGCACAGCACACAATGGCTCTAGATTTATTGCAGAGAGCACAAGGGAAAATGGGTGTCTTGAGGGAACAATGACACCCATCACAGATCATGAGCCAAGCTGACTAATATTAGTCTTCTGCATAATCATCTTCAGGCCGCCAGGAAATGCAGAGCAGAGGATCTGCGCGCTAACAGCGTCCAGGCGAGGAGAAAGGACATCTATACCCAATCACAGCACCACTCCTGAGCTCCCACTCCTCCCCAGATATGATGTTCCTCAGCTTCTGATGGAGTCATGTCGTGATAAACCCATCACAGCACAAGTGAACCCAACCTACGGAACCCAGGCTAGGGAGACAGTTCAGTTGCTAAGGCGTTTGACAGAAGTTATGAGTGCAATTGCCAGAATCCATGAAAAATCCAGTCATGGTGGCATGCGCTTGTGATTCCAACACTGTGGAAGTAGAGGCAGGCAGATCCCTGGGGCTCACTGGCCAGTCAGCTTATCTCATCATATGTGGTGAGCATACCCAATAAGGCATTCACATGCACTTGTACACAGGCAGCCACATGCACACACACACACATATGCACACACACATGCACATACACAACACATTCATACACACTCACACACACACGCATGCACATACACACACACACACACACGCACATACACATGCACAACACATTCACACATTCACACACACGCCCCACGGAACATCAGAACAAAGTGCACTGTAGGTATCATTGTTTTACCTTGTGGTCTCAAGCTTACTAGCAGCTGTGAGTCTACCCAGTATTGAAAACAAATCCTAAAACACGCCATTCTAGGACAGGACCTCTGCAATTTTGTTCTTTCGCAAAGTGGCTTAATGCCAGCAAACTGAAACCTCTGCCTCTGCTCTTAAAGATGGCAGTAATTCAGATTGCTTCTGGCTGCTGAGAAATTTGGTAGGCTGGGGGAAATGAGTGTGAAGACAAATTGGGAAAATAAAGCTTCATTCTGCCTTCCAAATGAACCTACCTTGCTTATTTGAATTTAAAATTGCTTAGTGTGCAGTCCCTGTAGGAAAATCAAGGAAACTATATAAGCAAAAAGAACATTGCAACCCATAGGGTAATCCCCCCCCCCCACCATTTCCCCTCCTGGTTATAGGGAATTGTTTCTTCTCAATAAACTTTTCTTGCTTTCCTTTCAAAAAACAAACTAAAAATCACCTGTAATCCTACAACCTGGTTATGACTCATTCCTCCAGCTGTGCCTGGCAGCTGTGAGCTGAACGCCAATGGTCAGAGGAGGAAGGACAGGCCTGGCCTCAGCAGCGAGAGCCTGGAACTGGTATGTGTGCCCGGCACTTTGCTCTCTGAGGCTCCCATCTGGGGTGATCAGACCCCCACTTTGGCCCAACATCAAAGGATATTGTATTAACACATGAGTATCCTGGTCTCAGGGCTCCAAAGATAGGACTTGTCCATCCTAAACCAGACCTGCCCACAGTCATGTCAAAGGAAGAAAGCCAAGTGTGGTGAATGATTAGCAGAACTTCCAGACAGCTCCACAGTCTGGGAACGCAGAGAAACCGAGGAGTTGTTCAGCTGGGGGAAGCTCGCTTAACCACAGAAGCCTGTGAAGGTCTGGCCATGGTCTAGCTGCTCCGCACTGAGACTCACTGCAGACCCAATACTTCTATCACAGGGTCTCCACTTCTGAGAGTCCCTCAGGTGGCTTGTGCCATTTGTACTAACTACATCACCAGATTCCAGGGTGAGCAGGAGGACACTCACGAGCTACTGATCGCTGGGGTCCTGCTGTGTGTGTGAAGGCATGTAAACACATAGATGACATAGTTCTTACTGCCAGAGAGTTTACACTTCAGCTGAAAGCACTATCCATTTATAAATGTGCATACCCTAATACCTCCTAGGCCATCTCTACACCACAGAGTTAAAATACGTTAGCTTTCTAACTACTGCATTAGATAACTAGAGAAGACAGAATTAGTGGGATATTATAATTGCTTTATTTTAAAAATTGAAAAAGGTTTTATATTCTATATTTTGATCATGATTCCCCCTTCCCCAATTCCTCTCTGATCCTTCCCACCCCCTTACTCATCAAACGTCATGTTCTTTCTCTCCCTAAAACCAAACAAAAAATAAAAATTAAACAAAAGCAAAAATTACTAAAACAAAGCAAAAATCCCCCCCCCAAAACCCAAATAAAATACATGGAGTTTGTTTTGTGTTGGCCAACTATTCCTAGCTATGGGGCCTGCCCTGGAGTGTTGTTGATAGGCCTGGTGTCATTTCATTGGAGAAAACTGACTTTTCCTTTATCAGCAGTTGTCACTTGCAAATAGATTCTTGGTTGGAATGGGACCTCCATACCCACTTCCCCTTCCCAGTGCTGGGACCGCATCAGGCTTGAACCTGTGTATTCTGCTATAGTCCCTGTGAGTTCCTATGTGCATTGCATTGTTGTGTCTGAAAGAGGCTGTTTCCTTGAAGCTATCCACCACCTCTGGCTCTTGAATCCTCTAGTCTCCTCTTCTGCACAGATGCCTGAGCCTCAAGATGAGGGGTTGATAAAGACATCCACAATCTCACCGTCTGTCCGTTGCCCAGTTGGGAGTGCCTGTTAGTTCTCATCTACTGAAAGAAGAGTCTTCTGTGGGGAGGACTGGTATGCGCACGGATCTAGGGGTATAGTGATATGCCATAGGATGTATTTATCGTATATTTAATTGCAAAACATGTCAGCAATGTATATATAAATGAACCGGTTAATGCTAAGCTTCTGGACTCCAGGGCTTCTATTTTATTCTCATCACATGTCTCAAGACAGGTTAGGTCACGGTATTCCAGTCACGCATGTGACTAAGTGACTGCGCTCAAGTGCTAGTGACCAAAAATGTATCCTTTGACATCTGGTTAAAGTGGGGATCTGATCATCCAGATAGCAGTCTCAGAGGGTGGCATGCCTTGCACACACGCCCATTCCAGCCTCTCATTGCTATGAGGTCAAGGCTGTTCTTCTTCATCTGACCACTGATGCTCACCTCACAGATGCCAGACACAGTTTGGGAAATGAGGGCAGGACAGGGGTAAGTTCTGATACCCATTCATGTGGACCATGACCGCAAGGCTAGAAGCAATATTAAGAGTGGTTGCCACTTAGACAGACTTAGACAGAATAACATAGTAAGTGAAATGTGTGTTTAAAATTTTTAGTTAATAGAGCAGGGTATGGTGGTGCATACCTCTAAGCCAGCGCTAAGGAAGTGGGGACAGGCAGTTTTCTGTGAGTTCAGGGCCAGCCTGGTCTACACTGAGTTCTGGGACAGCCAGAGTTATGTAAAGAGACCCTGTCTCAAAAAAATCAAACAACAACAAAAAACCGAGAAACAGAAATTAATTTTTTTTAGTTAACAGGCCTGGGGGGTTAGCCCGGTCAGTAGAGTATTTGTCTGGCATGCATGAAGGCTTGGGTTCTGCCCCTAGCATCTCATAATCTGGGCATGGTAGTGTGCCTGTAATCCTAGCACTGGAGAAATAGAAGGAGAGGATCCCAAGTTTAAGGTCATCCTCTGCTACACAGCGAGGTCTAGACCTGCATGGGCTACATAAGACCCTGCCTCACAAAACAGCAATGACAAAAAACAACAAAGAATTTAGTAAAGGAGCACTTCGTTGGAAAGGTAGAAGTTTGGTTGGTCAGAATAGCATCTTGAGAACTAGACTATAAACTTAATGGTTGTAGGATTCTAGTATGTTTCCCAAAATAAATTTTAATTTAACCCCCTTCTGTTTAGGAGGCGCATCTTTATTATATGAAAACAAACAAATAACCCTGATTGCTGTCCAGCATGCTACAAGGAAGAAATACACCCCAGGAAAAAGAAGACAAGAAGATGCACGCTTGATTCGCAGCAGAGTGGAGTCCTTAGAACTCTCAGCACAGGGTCTGAGGCAGCCCTTCTGCCAATGGTCTGAGCTGTTATTTCAAGTAAGGGTTACTAAGCTGTGAGATTTGTTACTGGTCCACCAAACCAAGGCTCACAAGATGTGGCAAACAACATTCTAACTTCCCGGTTCAAAAGGATCTACAGCTTTGATTTTCCCCAACACACCAGCTCAAACTCTCTTTACTTTTCTAGGCGAGCCTGTGAGGCATTGCATAACCATGACTTAGACTGTTTGCCCACCTGT